GAGACTGAGAGAACCGGCAAGCGGACTGGCCTAAGCTGACCTGGAGGAGGCACCAGTGGGGGAGAAAGGGGGAAACTAATAAGCCACAGGCCATTTCCACCTTTTTGACAATTTTGCTCAGGCCCCATGTGCCCAGCGACCTCCGGAGGGAAATGAGGCTCCCTGAACTGATCTCTCCTAGACGCTTTTGGCCTCCTATGAACTTACCCAACAGGAACCGTGTCCATGTTAAACCTCTAGCTACAGTTTCCAAAATTAAGTGTTCATACCAGCCTGCCAGGTTTCTTTGGGAAGTGTAATGTATTTATGTATTTTACATGCGTATATATTTATAATGTATACACATACACATATATTATATTCTTTATTCTTATACCCATTTTATGAGCCTGGACTGTACTCTTATAATCTAGACCTTTCCCAAGAAATCCTTGCTCTTTTTATCCAGACAGAACCAGAAATAATATTGAGTTCAGAGCTGAACTTGGCCCCTATCAGAAGGGTTGCCTTTCTTTTCTCATTATTTAGGGGGTGGGGAAGCCATCACATGCTTTTAAATGCAGTTTAGTGAATTTTCATAAGGTTTTGGGGACCCATCAGTGGCTGTGTCTGCCTGCCTATGAAATGGGACTCTGCAGGCATTTGGGGATGGAGATGGTCATTCCTTTCTAAAAGACACCAGGGAACCTCCCTCACTTCCCCTCCCTGCCCCACCTCCTGCCACCAAAGGGCCTGTGAGGGCTCAGGCTGGGAGTGGGGACACCTGGGGTCTAGTGTTGTCATCGTCCACTAATTAGCTGTGTCCACCACAAGCAAATCACATCTCATTCTGTTTTCTGTAAAAAGAGAAGGTTGAGATGTGGTCTCTAGAAATCCTGCTACCATCCAATGATTTATTTATTTTCTTTCTGATTTACTTATTGTAAAAAAAAAAAAAAAAAAAAAAAAACCTCACAGCAAGTGGGCAGGATCATGCACAATACATGGCCTGAGGAAAGAGGAGCCGATGGTAGCTGGAACCAATAGTTTGCTGTCATAGAGTCCAGAGACTGGAAAACAGGACACGTGCAAAGCTGGAAGGTTTATTTAAGAAGGTTCTGGAAGCTTAGGGAGGGACTTGCCACCAATAACATGACATTGAGAGGGAAGTCATTCCAGAGTAGCAGCTTTTGTTGCACTTGCAACAAGGGTGCACCCAAGGGTGCCTTGGGATTCAGTCAGCAGCAACCAGCCCAGTCAGGCAGACCTCAGCCCAGCACCCACTGGCCCAGGTGACCCGCAGAGGAGCCGGTGTGGTGCTAGGAAAGGAGGAAAGCCCAGTTGGCTGCTGGAAATTGAGATGAGTAACAAATCCCGGGGGTGCACAAGAGAAGGCATGCATGCAAGCCTGTATCTAGGCGCAGAAGTCACTGGATAGCAGACTTCCAAGCCTTGGCGGTGCCTGGGGGAGGCAGATGCTGATGTCGAGAGGCTGAGTGCCTCTGTGTGAACATAGCCACCTTCCCTTGGCCTTGTGCATGCTTGGCTGGGGTTCTGGCCATTCAGCCAGGGTGCTTCAGGCTGGCTGTTGAAAGCTCTCAGCATAAAACCTGAAACGCAGAGCTGAGGCCTCTAACAAAGCGAAGTCTCCCTTAACGTCCATTGAAAAAGGGAAGCGCCAAAGAGGCTCCCGCCTGCCCTGCGGAACCAGTGGCCTCAGCCAGCACGTCCCCCCCCCAACCCCTGCAACTGCATTCCCAGGGACAGAGAGGCCAACGTGGCCCCTGGTTAGGCATCCTCCCAAAGTGTTCAGTGAGGCATCCAGCTGCCAACTTGGCGCAGCGATGGGGGGCACCCGCTCCAGCAAATTGGATTCACCAGCAGTGAGCTAACACCCTGGAGGGGCATCCTGGGGTCCGCTTTGTTGTTGAGGAGACAGCTGGGTTCCAGAATTGGGACTGAGTGGGGACCATTGGCTTGGGGGCCTGGAAAGTTGCATGCACGTGCCCTCTCATTTCAGAGAGTTAGAGACCACTTTCCCTTGCCAGTGGTTCCTAATATTAGCTGTCGCGTCCCATGGCCATGCCTGGTCTTCCCCACGTCCTGCTACCTTGGTTCCAACGAGGTAACGGCAGACTAACAATTAAAGAAATGGTCTGGGAACCCACAGAGTCTGCCAGGGATTCCAGGCTGCTGAACTCACGGCCCCCGCCCTCCCTTCCTTCCCCTGTCTGGTGCCACATATGCTTCCCTGTCATTACACCTGTAGTGCAGTCCAGGATACCACCACAGCACGCTGGGCCCAGCCATTGCCGGCTCGGACTCCCTGCAAGGGGTCTGCTATAAAACCTGTACTCGGTCATCCATTTCTATTTTTGATATATGGGAATTCTTTCAAGTACTTGGGGGAATGTAGACAAAATGGAATTTTCATTTGGGACTCAGTGACTTGTTTGTGGGCTGCCCCATGACTGATGGAATGAACGGCCGGGAAAGCACGCGGCAGAGCTGCCTGTGTCTCGGGGCATTTGGGTTCATTTGTCCATGGATTCATTCAGCTGCTATTTCCCAAGCACCTGCTCCGGGCCAATACAGAGTCCACTGCCCCTGGATGGAAGAGCGGATGCAGATGACCAGATAGGCCTCTTCTTACACCTTCTCTACCCTGCCCAGTGCATTTTTGCCTCCCCTGTGGCCCTCAGCCTCCAACGGACTTGATGGCAGAGCGGCCCCTCAAAGTGCCCCTGTTCAGGTTGCAGAGAAAAGGCAAAGAAGGAGGCAAGTCCCATTACTCCAGGTGGTGGAACCCCTCCTGCAGAAGTGACACAGTGTCCTGCCACCAGGGCGGTTTAAGGCAGTGGGTTGTGAGGCTGCCCAGTGGTCATGGAGGGGCCCTGCATTGGCCTGCACCCTGTTGCCCTCCAGCTGAGCAGCTCTGGGCAAGTCCTTCCCCTTCCCTGGGGTCAGGGCCCCTGTCTCTTCCTAGGACAAGGTTGGACTTCCAGGGCCCTTCCATGGCTGCCCTTGGTAATGCCGGCTACCAGTCAGTGAAGATTTACTAGGTGTCACAGAATCTGCTTCATTGTACTCAATAGGCAGAGTAGCATCATGAGATGAGAACTAAAATAAGGCTCATTTTGCAAATGAAGAAACCGGGGTCCAGAGAGGTTAAGTGGCAAGGCGAAGACCTGCTTGTGTCTGCCTCAGAACCAGGACCTTTCACCACACTGCCTCCACTCGCGCTCTGGGCCAGTGGTTCCCATCTTGGCTGTGCATTTAGAATCGGCCCAGGAGCCTTGAGAAAACTCAGATACCCGGGCCCTGCTCTGAATGAGACTGAAGCAGTTCGTCTGTGGTGGGAAGCCCTGGGAATCTGGATGTTTCTCAATGAAGCTGATGAGCACCAAAACGTGACATGTGCAGCCCTCTTTTGATGTTCACTCTGTCATGACAGTCGTGGCCAGTGTGGCGCTACCACACACCCTCCGCCCCACCAGTGAGCCAGACGTGAAGGGACATCAAAGGATCAGCAACGAATGTCCCAGGAAGACTTCTAAAGCTAAACAGGGTTTCTTTACATGAAAAAGTGTGTCAAGAGAAATACAGTCGAGCCTGGAAACACAGGCTTGAACTGCACAGGTCTGCTTAAATGTTTTCCGATAAATACAGTCCAGTGCCATAAATGCATTTTCTCTTCGTTATGATTTTCTTAATCACATTTTCTTTTCTCTACCCTACTGTGTTCTAAGAATACAGTACATGATACATATAACATACAAAATATGTGCTTAGTCGACTGTATGTTATTGTAAGGCTTCCAGTCAACAGTAGGCTATTTGTAGTTAAGTTCTGAGTGGTGTCAAAAATTATAGTCGGATTTTTGACCACAGGGCATTTTTCAAGGTTCACCTGTGTATGTGTTCCACTGTTGGCGTGTAGGTAATTTCCAAGCCCTTCTCTTTTCACACATGCCTCCACTCCACCCCACTTGCTTTCCCCTCTACTTGCAGGTCATGGTTATTAACATGACAGCCACAGATGACTGTATGAAGCCTTGAACGAGTAGGAAATAGTGCCTCGCTAACTGCTTTGTTCCCAAAGGCTATGCTTTTATAAATGGTGAGCAGCTCCCCCAAGGTGCAGGTCGCAGATCGGGGCCTTTTCCTGTACTTTGAGGGGGACGGTTGTAAGTCATTCTCAATAAAAACAAACAAGTGATAGAAAACCATAGAGAATAGAAAGGCACTTGCCAATCTCCCCAAAAGATCCCTACTCCTGATGGTTGCATGTAGGTTCTTCCACGTTATTTTTGTGTGTACCTAGTAGTGTGTGTGTGTTGTGTGTGTCCGCGTGTGCAAAGATAAGTGAAACCATGCCTCAGTGACTGTTCTGCCACTTGTGTTTTCCCCTAGACAGTACATCTCAGACAGTTGCCCCAAAGCACACACCTAGATCTACTTCATTCCTCTAAAGATTCTGTTGTGTTCTGTCTGGTCACCACAGCCCGGTGCATTTAAACGAGACGGGGAGGCAACCTAAAAGTTGCCTGTCTATGTTGTGCTTTTCTTTTTTAAAAATGGGGATATCTGTACACAGGTAGGAATTGAGAGCATCTGAAGTACTTCCAGTTTGCCCTCCAGTGCCTGTCTGAGGCGGCTCAGTTCAGTTAGTGACTTCCGCATAGTTTTGGTGAGCTCTCCCTTACGTGGGCACAGAAGATCCTTTGTGGGACTTTCTGCGGTGTTTAGTATACAGACAGCATAATGCCTAATTTGAAGTGTAACAAGACAGTTTAAATGAAACACAGCAACAAAGAAGCAAGCATTATGGTCCCCCAAAATAGGCTGTATTGTATAGTTTTGACAAGTCTTGAAACTGAGAGATGTTTTATGTTGCAAGTTTCCTGTTCATTAGCTTTCATGTGCCAAGGCTTTATAAAAATTCCTCCCTCCCTCTCCCTCTCCCTCTGTCTGTCTGTCTGTCTGTCTCTCTCTCCCTCTCACTCTCTCTCTCCACCACAGGGACCCACTAAAAGGAGACAGGAAGGAGATAGCTTCCAGTTTCCAGGCATGGCTGACGGAGGTTACCCTAATAAAATCAAGAGGCCTTGCCTTGAAGACGTTACCCTTTCTATGGGCCCAGGCGCCCATCACAGCACACCCTGTGCAGAGCTGCAGGTGCCTCCATTGACAATGAACCCTAGCCCTGCCGCCGTGGGAGTACCTGGCCATCCATTACCACTCGAAACTAATCCCATGAATGGCAGCATGATGGGTTCACCGTTTGCAGTGCCATCGGCTGCAGAAATGGGACTGAAAGGACCTTCCGGTCCCTACTATGACAAAGCCAACAGCATGCCGGCTGTGGACCAGGAACTTCAAGATCTCCTGGAGGAGCTAACAAAAATTCAAGAACCTTCTCCGAATGAGCTAGATCTTGAGAAGATACTGGGGAGCAAACCAGAAGAACCACTGGTGTTAGAGCACCCGCAGGCAACCCTCGGTGCCAGTGCCAAGCCTTCGGTTCAGATGCCACACTTGGAGAGCCTCGGTTCCAGCAAGGAGTTTGCTTCCAGCTGCGGCCAGCTCCCGGGCACGCCACTGCCAGTCCCGCCCTCCCCGGCCGGGCTCAGCTATGTGATTCCTGCCAGCGGGAAGCAAGTGGCCTCGCCAGGCTCTTCGGCAGCACAGACCAAGAGCCAGGTCCAGGGGATGGTCCCTGTCGCTCTGCCCCCCCTCCCAGTGCCTCAGTGGCATCACGCCCACCAGCTGAAGGTGCTGGCAGCCAGCAAGCAGGGGTCTGCTACGAGGCAGCCGGGGCCCAACCCCAGTTGGTCTGGCCTGCCTCCTCCAGGCCTCTCCCCGTCTTACCGCCCGGTGCCGTCACCACACCCGCCGCCACCGCCGTTCAGCCCTCAGAGCCTCATGGTGTCCTGCATGGCGTCCGGCAACCTGCCCGGGAGTGCTTTCCAAGGCTCCCCCAACGCCTTACTGGCCAGCATGGCATCCGGCAGCAGTGCCGCCCTGGGGCCCCCTGTGCTCTACACTCCCGAGAAGCTCCCCAGCCCGGCTCTCAATCAGCAGCCGCAGTACAGTCCACAGAGCTCCCTCCTTGCCAACCTGGTGTCCTCTAGTATCAAAAGTCCTCAGGGACACCTGATGTCTGCTTTGCCCACCAGCAACCCGGGGCCATCCCCGCCCTACCGCCCGGAGAAGCTCTCCAGCCCAGGCTTGCCTCAGCAGTCCTTCACTCCGCAGTGCTCCCTGATCCGGAGCCTCACCCCCTCTGGCAATCCGCTAAGTCAGCAGCAGCAGCCGCCTTCGCAGCAGCCGGCAAACACCATCTTCAAGCCCATGGCCACCAACCCACCCAAAACCCTGAGCGTGATCATGCAGCAGGGGCTGGCCAGCCCCAGCCCGGGAGCCCCGGAGCCGTTCACTTTTGGCAATACCAAGCCCCTGTCACATTTCGTTTCTGAGCCGGGCCCCCAGAAGATGCCCTCCATGCCTGCCACCTTGAGGCAGCCGTCCCTGCTCCACTACCTGCAGCAGCCGACGCCGACCCCGGCCTCTTCTGCCACCGCCTCCTCCACCGCCACTGCCACTTTGCAGCTGCAGCAGCAGCCTGACCACTCCTCTCTCCTCCTGCAGCAAATGATGCAGCAGCCGCCCCCACGCTTTCAGCGGCCAGTGGCCCCGGACTCCATGCCTTCTCTGCCCAGACAGGTAAGACGGTCTCGCGTCCGGTTGCGTTCCTTTGTTTTGGACATAGGAACCGTGTCTCGTGCTATTGATACTTGGCTCTGGAGGCAAATCTGGCCATAGTCCTCTCTGAGACTGGACTTAACTCTGGAGAAGTCTATTGAAGGCAGCTAGTTCTGTGTGGTCAAGGTGCAGTGTTCATGAGGCCGAAGTTATGGTTTTAGCTCCTGTGCAAGTCACTTAACTTCCCTGGGAGGAAAAGTGCACCCAGAAGGTGCTGTTAGGGGAAGGGACCAGGGGAGATGAATCAGAATCACCTAGAACTGCCTTCCCCTGCACCGGGCCAGGTAGCGTGTTCCCTCACACAGGACTAGTGAAGGCTTCGTAGGACGCAAGGAAATTGCACCGAGGCATGTAAATCCTACCCTGCTGGCATATGGCTGCACGCTGAGCCTTCCAGAAGTGCCACAGCAAACTTCTGCTGAGCAGCCCCAGTGTGCCCTTCACCACTGTGCTGGCTTGGACACTGAGGCAGGCCCTAAATGAAAAGGACAGATGCAAATAAAGTAGTTACTCTTACCATCTCCATTCTACAAAGAAACTGAGGCTCGGAGAGTTGAAATGACTTGCCCGGAGTCACATAGCCAGGGGACAGAGCAGGAACTGGGAACCAGGCAGTGTTAGTCCAGAGCCTGTGCTCTTCTCAGAATCACTGTGACTTCTCCCCCTCCCTCATCTACAATATGATCAATCACTGAGCTCAGCTGATGCCCGCCCAGGGGTGTTGATCACAGTTTCCCCTCGTCATTGCTCTGACCCCTGCCCTCATTGGTTATCTATTGCCGTGTAACAAATGACTCCAAGACCTCTGCTTGAGACAACACAGGTGTATTACCTCACGGTTTCTATGGGCCAGGAGTCTTGGCATCACCTAGCTGGGTCTTCTGGCCTTGAGTCACTTGTAAGGTTATCATCATCTCCAGCTCAACCGGGAAGGTTCTTGCTTCCAAGCTCACTCCTGTGGTGGTTGGCTGGAAGCAGTTCCTTGCAGGTGTTTGGACTGAGGCTTCATTCCTCATGAGCTGTTGGTTAGAGGCCTCTCTTAGTTCCTTGCCACGTGGGCCTCTTCATAGAGCATCTCACAGCATGGCAGCCGGCTTCGTCTGACTAAGCAAGACAGAATGTGCCAGCAAGAGAGGCAGAGGGATTGCCAGCAAGTCAGAGGTTACAGTCTTTAGAACGTAGTCTTGAAAGTGATGTCCCATCACTTCTGCTGTATTCTGTTCATTGGACACAAGCATGAATGTGTGAATACCAGGAGGCAGGGGTCACTGGGGACCATGTCAGATATCTGCCTACCCAGAGCACTTTCTGCCTACCCAGAGCACTTTCTATCTTGGTCCCTCCTTTCCATTGCTCTCAGCCTTGCCCAAGTTCAAGTCCTCTTGATTCTTTGCCTGGACTCAGAGTTGACTCTTAAGTTGGTTTTCCCCAATAAACCAGCCATCACTCAAAACATTACCTTCAAGAGACCTGACATAACAGAGACCTGATCATGTTTCACATTTGGCCAGAAGTTTCTGGGGGCCCATAACCTGGCTCCATCCATCTCCTTGGACTCTGTGCATATCGGGCCCTGTCTGGCACTTTGCTTCTATCATTCGAAGTGCTGGCAGTCGGCTTTATTCCTACCATCCCCTGTGCCTGGCAGTGCCTTCCCACCTTCTTTCTCCTGCCCCACCCCCACAGCTCCTAAGGCTCAGGAACCATCCCCTCCAGGACCAGCCTTGGTACTTCCGTCTCCCACTCTGCCTCTCTCTTCTCTAAAACAGCCAAGGAAGAGAGCTTGGGCGGCAACCTGGCCCAAGGGAAGCACCTGTCAGGGTTGACCTCTTTTCTGAGGGCCCTGGATGAGTGTGACTGGGGCAGCCCCCGGAGGAGAAAAACCAAGTCTTTTTCCTCCATGCCTCATGAAGCATAAGCAAGCAGAGAGCTCCACACCAGGGAACTGGTCCTCTGATGGACTTGTGCAGCAAACAGAGCATCCGTGGGTGCGGCCAGGGCGAGCCGCAGGCCCTCGTGTGCAGTTTGGGAGCACTTGGGTTTGAGTCTGCGGCGGGTTTACTGCCATCTGCCTTCATGGAGCTGGAAGTCTCCCCCTAGCAGGCAAGGTCCTCAGCCTGGAGACCGATCACCATCTAACACTGTGAGCCGTTTGGGGTTTTTCTTCAGTGGGGTACATTTGTAGCCTGAGTATGTGGCCTCAGAACCCGATCAGCTGGCTCAGAGGGAGAATCCTTAATGACCTGAGTCATGAAAATCACACCCAACTGATTACCTAGGTGAGCTGGAGAAAGTGCTCCAGGGAAAGACTAGCAGCCAAACTCCCTGAGGCTAGGAAGGGCTCAGGTGACCGCCACCAGCAGAGGGGGGAGCCTGGGCTCCCTGGATGGGAGGCTGTTGCTGCCAAGAGCTGCCTTCGCTGCCAGTGCTGGCCAGTGCCCACGGGCCAGGCATACAACTCAGCTCTTCACCTGCCTTTTTCTCATTTTAGTCATCAGAGATAGAGGCCGTTATCATTCCCTTTAAAGCCAAAAAGACTGAGGCACAAAGAAGTGACTAGAATTGCCCACTCACACAGGAAGTTAGGGCCAGAGAAGGGAGTCTGGCTACAGAGCCCATACTTGTAACCCCATGCATGGGGCACTGCTTCCAGAGCCTTCTGATCCTGCTGTAACCTCCAAACTGTTGCCTCTTCTACAAAATGGGCAATAGGTTATGACATGTTGATTGAGGATTCAATGCATTAATACATCTAAAGCGTTTTGAACAAGGCCTAGCAGCACAAAGTACCTGCCAAGGAAGGTTTGCTATCACTATGACTAACTCCTGGCCTTGAGCCTCCAGATCCATTTGGTGGGGGCTGAGATGTGTCACGACAAAATGTGAGCAGTGCTCTCTCCAGACCCCCTGCCTACCGCAGGATTGACAGCCTACAGCCTCGCGGGTTCTCCCTGTCCCAGGCCCTGCCCCACTGACACAACTCCAGGCCTGGTGGAAAAGGGAAAAGGCGGGGGGCACCTGGGTGGCTCAGTCGGTTAAGCGTCGGTCTCTTGGTTTCGGCTCAGGTCATGATCTCAAGGTTCGTGAGTTTGAGCCCTGCATCAGGCTTTGCGCCGACGGTGTGGGATTCTGTCTCCATGTCTCTCTGCCCCTCCCCAACTTGTGCTCATGCTTTCTCTCTCTCTCTCTCTCTCTCTCT